TACTAGTTGGTCATCCCATATATCAGCTCAGAGTTTACGAACACGCAGTAAAGAAGGCTAAATTTTTCCTTAGCTGCATGATGAAACTTAGCAGCTACGAGGGACTATGAGGCAGGATTAAACAAACATGCTTCCGTGAAACGCATGTTAACGCAAATTTGGGATCGACGAGAGAAAAACCTTGAGCAAAGGAAAGGTACACAGGAAAGTGAACTGAAAATGCGTCGTTAGATGCATTGTTGTGCTATGCCTTTGAATAATGTTGAGGCTGGATTTCCACCTTCCTAATCAAGTAGACGGTTGACACCGAAGCCACACAGTCCTCCAGAAACTATCCGCAATCCATCCAATCCGCTCATTGATGGACCAGCCTGGGTCGCCGATCAGCTGCACATTACCTGCAAATGGAGATCCGAATACCTTGGTCTCCAGATATTTGGTGTTTATTATCCAAGATGATCACAAGATTTTAAAATAAATTAGGTTGCCCATGCCCTGTGGCTGCAAAATGCTTGATGTCTTTATGAAAACATCTCGTCTACATTGAGTTATGGACAGTTGCACTCACACAGCCGTTCATCGTTATTCTGCCATTGGAAAGGCAAAGTAAATAAGAATAGTATTGTGTAACACCGACAGTCGGAAATACTGGAAATACATACGGCAGTAACTTCAACCAATATACGGAACCATGGATACCTATGAGAAATGTGATGAAATGTTGTAAAGATCTTGGGATCAAACGGCAATATTTAAGGCCAAGGCGTTGGCCTACGCTTAGTACCAAGACGTACTGGAGTTTTCGGAAGCGATTTGCCCAGTGCTAATCCGTCTGCAAAGTCGGAATTCGTTAGCTCAAACAGCTTGGTTGAAACCACTTCCATCCGTCACTCAACTAATATTGTAGTATCGGTTATTAAATAGTATAATCTGGCGGAAGGTAGTATCCATCCAATCCGTATTACAATAAGATTGAACGTACCCTTAAAGACGGTATTTTAATCTACAGCTGGTCGGCTGATCCACATCGAATTGGTGGAGATTGTTTCGTGAAATTCACACATGAGCAAAACTTCAAATCAGCTTTACGCCCTACACTAATTGATTCTTATGCGTGATGACCACGCAACGTAGGTCACTTTTGGCCGCTTTATGCACCATTTGAAATAACACTAACCTGTAACGCGGTTTCCACTAACTACATCCCTATCGTTGCTATCATCCTCCCAGTATGCTATAAGTAATTCACCATTCATCCATCGATTGGCTCAGACTAACGAACCTTTCGTGTCCGAAGCGAAGCGTTGCCCACACACTAAACCAACTTGTTAGTTTCAAACCATTCTGGAATCATAGGCGAAAGCCTGTTTCATTTCTGCTTCTACCAATAAGTATCAGTAAATGTTTCAAGCTATGTGTACCGTATGCGGTATCTATTCTGGTTCTCTCGTCAAGACGTTGGACTTTTGATTTCCTTAGCTGTAATCAAGCGTTTAGAGACAGACTTGATTTTGCTAACCAGAGTAGCATATATATATATATATATATATATATATATATATATATATCAATCATGAATAAATAACAAGTCTTTGGTTAACCAATTGTAAAAAGCAACCAGCTTCGCGTTTTCTTATCTGCGTTGCAATCGGTCGTTTAGGGTTCAACCCAAATTACTGGCTAAAGCATTTTAGAGGTGGATAGCGAAAACAAAACAAACATTTATTTACGGGTGGCTTTCATGTGCCATTGGGAGCTACTGACAAAGATTAAAACAGACTTACGCGCCACTGACTATGGTCCCAAACGCATCGCCTTGTGGTTTGCGGGAACAAGGTTTTGGTATGCTGGTGGGCCATCTTTGCGGATGTGCAACTCGTCTGTTTATCGATGATGGCCCTTATGTTCCGTGGCTATGTTTACATCAATTTCCACCACAAATGGACAATGTTTATCCAACAAATATTCCACCTTACTGCGGTTAATTGTGCTAACACGCTTTTCATCACACACGCACGAACCTGTACGGCAGGTAGACACAACTTCGGTGACAATTAGTGACAATCTCCGGTGCACAGGTGCGTGCGCTTCCATGGCTCTTCGGAATTAGCTTCAAAAGTCACTTTAAAGCGCCGTTTAATTTTACATTGTTTGTTTTTCTAAATGCAACAGAAGATGGACGTATGGGTTTGTGCTAATGATGTGCATGGATACCCGTCTTTCCCAGGAACAGAACGACTTTACTGTCCTCCACATGTTCGCAGAGTGACAACCTCTCCATCAGCACCGCACGAAATAGAAAAAATGATGGTACAGTTGCTGGGCTTGTGGTCGCTGCATTGCCAAAATTGTGTGCATACTGTAGACTTAATGAATATTTTTCAGACTAAATTGACTTACGGGTGGAATAGGACCCCGTGGTTACTTTCCATATTGACCGTGGCAATAAGTAAGGGTAATCGTGAGTAACTCGTTTTCCTCGTTTTTGCTGTACACCTCTATAGGTCAGTACTCTACGTATGACTTGGGTTATCAAACAGATAAATTAGCTCGCACTTGAAATAACACCTATTCCTAGCCTTTGTACTGTTGCTGATATGGAAAGGTTGAATAGAGCTACTACTACTCGGGAGGACAATCTGAAGGCAGTGTGTAACTACGAATGTTAGGGTAAAATACAGACATCTTTGTTGTACTACACTGTGTTTTTGCATGGTCTGTGTGTTCCAACGCTCCATATTTCGACAAATGCTCAGTGCGTATGTTCGCCCCCATGTCGAATACGCAATTCAAGCCTGACATCCATGGCTGAAACATGACCTTAATGCACTAGAGTAGCCACAACGTCGGGCAACTAAGAACGTAATTGGAATGCGAAAACTTTCATACCAGGAAAGGCTGCAATGATTAGGGGTATTAAGTGCAAGCTATCGCAGGTTACGAGACTACCTGATTATGGCATACTTGGTTCTGCGAGATCCACATCATGTGTGCTGCCCTTTACTGCGACTCAGAACCAATACAACCCTGACAGGGTCCACTCATTAAAACTAGCTGTACAGTATAGCCGTTTTGAGTGCCACAGAATTTTCTTTTCCATTCGTGTCTGTCACCCGTGCACTGCTCTCCTAGGATCGGTCGTCTGTGCACGGACACTAACAATATTTAAAAGACGGTTGGATAATGCACTCATCCACTTACACTTTGTCACTTAGCACTACGTCTCCATCTTACACCTGAAGTTTCCCATGGAATTATTCGATGTTAACTGTGGGTGCTGTGAATTTAAGCCGATTGCAGGACTACTGCGGGGCAAACGATAAGTCTTTATTTTCATATTTAAAGTACTAACTGTTTTACTATCATCATTATCATTATTGTTATTTTGATATCCTCACCAATTCTCCATCGGGACTTGCAAAGCAACGTTTCTTAACCCGTATAAATTCATTGTTCATTGTCCTGAGTGGACCTTTCATTTACACCCGGTACCTCAGAGGCTCTCGATCATTTAGAATCGGCCGTAGGTTCAGTGTAGCCTCTGCGAACTTGCATTCCCATTAGTTGCATTTCGCCAAGCGGTATATTGTTCCATTCAAGCTCTGCATTCAACCAGTGGCAATCAACCATTTACTCATGGACAAACAAGGCTTGTCACGGCATGCGTCGAAAGTAGATTGGAAATGCTGGCACCAAGTTAGCGTCTAAACAGCATTATTCGGATACATCCACAGTACTTAATCTAACAAACTGATTACAGTATCAGACCTGTAGGTAAATAACAACTGCGGGAAGTTTGTAACCCGTCATGTATTCAGGTTCTGATCCGTTTAGTTGATAAGGTCACTGACCGTTGGGATCCATTAGCTTTAAAATCACTTTGGGAGCGCATCTTCAGTGACTGGAGGCTCCTGGTCGGGCAGTTAAATGTAGTACAATGAGCTAATAGTTCGCCCAACTGATAGCGGCGGACAACAAATTCAGCATTTCCGGCCCGCAATTATCCACTAAATGTTAAACAGGAGCACACTTCCCTCGTGCAACTCACTCAAAAACAGAAGCATTTATGTATGAACGGAAACGTTTAAATGTGAATTAACCCTTTCCAAAATTTGCTTGGGGTTACAATCAAATCGCAAAACATTTTGCACCGATGAGGTCGCCCAAATTGCCGGCTATGAGCCAGATTCGTGGAAGAACTTGGTAGCGGTACAGTCGTTTCAAGGTAATGGTACTCGGAATTCTAAATATTCGTACCCGATAATATGCATTGGCATGTCGCAAGTTCCATGCAATGTTCTGGGACTCAATGTCAGCCTAAAAGCATTATTATCCTTGTGCTATATCTCTTGCTTCATTTTTGATGCACAACAAGTGACAATCTATATTACTAGATTTTGAGTTTATCACTACTAGTGACTTTAATAAGAAAGAATTTCCTATTTGAGTGGCCAACATGTAAGACGAATTCATCTCTATCCATGGCGGAGATCGTTCAACATAGATTCGGCGTAATTGATGTTTGTGCAGGACTAAACTGACCTTCCAACAATGTCGAAATATTCGTTTCTAGTGTGTCGATTCAATCGACTCGGCAGAATCTAGTACAATGGTTAGGATACCCTAGCATTTTCTCGCTTACTTGAACATGCTAATTCTCAGTTGATCACAGTGACAGCCTTTCCAGATTACTGGCTCTCTGTTACTCAAGGACGGCGAGGAGACTGATATCGATTGCATTAACTTTTGACAAACCTAGTTATGTAGTGGTGAGGCGTCACTGAAATAGCAGATTGTTGCTCCGTATGCTCAAAGAAATAGCTTGCCTACCTTGGGGTGACTATAGAACCCGTAAGATTATGTGGTTAGATCGTGAGCACTCTACGTGTCTTTCCTGACATGAGAGTAAAACAAGTCAGTCGCGAAACACTGTACAGTAACCCGTTTCCTGTTACTCAGCATGCATTTCTAACTCACCATTTCAATGTCAAACACAACAGGCTTGCCCGGACATGCACAACAGTGACATATCGAAATTCCTAGGCACCAAATGGAAGGCGATGAGCCCTGAATCCAAGGAACCGTACTACGAGGAACAAGCTCGTCTGAGCAAGCAGCATATGGAAGAGCACCCCGCTTACCGATATCGTCCAAGACCAAAACGAACGTGCACTGTGGATGGACGGAAGGTGCGAATTTCAGAGTACAAGGAGCTGATGCGTTTGAGTGGAGACGTGGGCGGGTTACATTGGACCGACTCACCTGTTGAACAGACTCAGAAGGTGGTCGAGGGGGTCCTCGGTGAGTTTCATTTGATCCATCAATTATGCTCCTTAAGGAAGAAATGTCATATCCTACTCTTATTGTACCGGCTCGTGGGTTTAAATTTACAACTCCATATGCCGTGCTAAAGATACGTAGCATGGAATATGGTAGGTGTACTTATACTATTGTTCGCAGCCAACATGAAGATCCACGAGTAGTTTTTCAGGTTTCGTCTATGGTTCATTCGTTCATTATTATCGGCTGATAAAACTTCCTAATTATTCAGCAATTATACGTAACCGAAATTCAAGTACACATGCTGATGTTCCGGATGAGGTCTTACACCGTATGTAACTCTTAGTTCATCATAGATATACGCGCTTTCTCCGCCCCTGAAGCACAGAGCATGCTGACCAGGTTGCGAAGTGTTGTGGCTCATGGTAATATTGCAGTCGGTTTGGACCTAACCGGTGCCACACGCTTAGGATTACACATGAGTGAGGGTTTACGACAAAATTTACCCGCCCTTCACTATCTCCAGTGTTGTCACCTTTCCTCTTTAACTTCCGCAATGACGAGGTCATGAAAACGGTGTTCAAAAGGCACGACTTAAAAGTTGTGGAGTGCTCCCATGTGAACGAATTATTGACTTGGAGTATGTCGACAACATTGTGCTCATCTGCGACAACTTCTTAACGTGCCATGTTGCATTAGCTAGAATAGCTCTGGCTGTCAGTCGTTTCGGGCTATGCTTTGCACCCTCGAAATGCGAAGTCCTTTTCCAAGATTGGCGGGGGCACACCGCTGCGCTACACTTGGTGGCGATCAGCTGGAGGTCGTGCAAAAATTCAAGTATTTAGGCAGCTATATTGGCGCCCTTGGAATCCAAGACGAACTCACAAACCGTATAGCAAAAGCTCGAGAAGCTTTTGCGAATCTCCGCCACCTGTGGCACCGGCATGGCAGACTTAACGAGGCTAGTTACATTCAACCGTCGCTACCTTCGCAGCTTAGCTGATGCCTGGTGGGAACACCGCGTGAGCAATGAGCGTGTTCGGCCTCATGTATTTGGTACCGGAAGAGCGAGTGAACGGCTCAGCACTGTCAATTCGCGAACCAGGCTTCGATGGTTGGACAACGTGTTGCGCATGCCAGCACACCGACTCCCTTGACGTGTGTTATTTGCGCGCCGGGGTGTAGATGGAAAAAGGGCAGCGGAGGCCACGTAATGATTCGATCTAAAGGAATGATGATCCTCACTTCGAACTTGGCGTCGGTTCGTGTCTCCCGACTGCCTGCTTGGGGAATAAAGGACGATGAACACGTTTGGTCGGATAAACTATCTAACACGGCGAAGAGCCAGCATCGGTGTCGTTTGTGTTGTGAGTTTCCTCGTCCATCCCCTTCCCTTTCGCTTCCCCCCTCCAACAACCTTCTCAAACCCTATGCATAATGTGGCATTTAGCATTAAGTTACCATCTTATAGCTTTTTAGTGTACTGTTTAATATATTATTTTTTGTATTACGGAACATTAGCTGGGATGTGTATTTCCAATCTGCCCATGCGTCACATTATTTGATTTATCAGAAGATGGAATACCCGTTGCAGTTGATTTATGTTTGAAAATCATCGACACCTTTCTGGTATACCTTGCCAGTTATGAAAAGCCGTGAAACAAATGGGCGATGTTTGTTTCTTGTTCTAGATACTGTATGCAAATGAAACTATTTTTCTCTTCTAAACAGACTCTGCATCATTGTGATTGTGTCTGGTCGTTCGGATGCATGTGATCGCGTGGACAAGGCGGACAGGAGGCAGAGAAAGCGCCATCCACGGAAGCTGAGCACTATCGCAATTATCGAAGGGACAAAACTCAATGAAGTTCAGTATGATTGCAGACAAGTTGGAGCGCATTGGCCAGAACAGTAGCGAGAGCACAGCACGTACACTCCACCAAACACACTTGGTGCAGCGGTGTCTAGTTGACTGGGCGGATGGTGCTACTGCGTGATTGATAGACAGAAGGTGGATCGAGTACAACTTACTCGGGCTAACCATAATCGTAAAGAGCCAGATAATCAACGAAAAAATTGGCACGGAATCACATCAGCCAAGTTCATTGCGACCCTAGACAGAGCAGAAGTAGCTTGAACCATCGGATGAAGAGCGCATGCGGACCAAAACACATGAAGAGAACAGGTGGCGACGATAAGAAATAGCTAGTGAAAGACCACCACCGTTGAACAATGATTCAAATTTTGTACAGTATACATAAACTAACACTCTGGAAATGGTATATGTTGCTTCCTGCAATTGCTCTGTGTTGACTCTCACATAACTACACGAAAGCCGACATCATACGGAACGAATACACACACTCCACCCACAATCTTATAGATCAACGTGAGTTAAACGTTGGAATACATCCAAAAGATGTCATTTCAAATTGGGGCAGCACTTAGTAGAAGTAGAGAAACTCAATCTTACTAAAATTCATTCGAAATACCGGTGCCGCTGGTAGGATGTATGCTTATAAGCTTGCTCTCAAACTCGTTAAAAACAAGCATCAGCAGTACACCGGTACGCAGTACCGACACTTCACTGCCGTGCAACCACCACCAGTCGCACATGGGCTAAGGATACTGTGAGGGTCGCCCGGTCACTAGGCAGGCTCGAACCTGCGCCATCGGCTTACAAGACAGTCTTGTGATCCTTAAGGTTACGGGTCGAACTCGTCAACCTGGTTTCGAGTGCTTCGTCAACAGTCTCCGTAACACTAGTATTGTGACATTGTCAACATTTCCATTGTGATTACTGGTACCATCCAACTACGGCAGACTTTGTTGCTAGTTGAAAGAAACATGGGCGAGGCGACGTTAGACGCTTGCGAACTCATTCGCTTTTGAACCATGAACCGGCAGCGATCAGTATCGCGCTGATTGCCATAACAGGTCGCGTTAGTTAACACGACCAATGGTGTACATGTAATTGCTCAATGCACTATCCCTATCACGTTCTTGACCAGCTCCATCTTGAGAAGTAGCTAGGCTGGACTTAGTTACTCAGGTCTGACGACCATGGCAAAAGGTGTGCCCTAAGTAAAAAGGATGTTGTTTTCAATTATTCACACAAAGGTTTGTCCGGAATTGTGTTCCCAGAATATACAAACGCAAAGGATGACTTTAACGAGATCTAAACTGTCCATGTGGTCTGATAGAAGCAAATTAAGTAAAATTTATCAATACTCGAGTTGTTCGCTGGACTTTACAGCACATTTTAACCAATTAAACGCGTCATGGAATGCAGTGTTTTCAGGCAGACAACACCCAATGTGTACCTGCTTCATCAGTCACCATCGTAGTGTAGGGCGGCGGAATCCAACGACTACTCGTGAACCGGAAAGACAACAAAAACGGTAGTAGGGAACTACCAACGAGAGCAATAGATGAGACGAGACAAGATAGTGCGAGCCTTGCGAGTCGAGCCGACAGCGGATCACGGGCGGCATCTGGTAACGAGCCTGGGCCCAGAACAACGGAGGAGGTATTTGTCGCGAACGCAGTGAATCAGACAAATACACTGTTAGTGAAGCCCACACGAATGAATGCGGTCCGACTGATGCGACCACGAGAAAGCAAATTGCGCGCTTTCGAACGACTCCTGGCTGGCCAGAATCGGAGATATGGGGTGAAAACTTGAATGGATTGTTTCAAAGTTCAAGCTCGTAGCCACATGGAATGGCCCGTCACACAACCCCTCATCAGCGTTGCGTCGTGGTAAGGAAACACGGTCTATATCGGTATGGGTTTGTAAGTGGTCGGTTGCACATTGTATTGCCCCCCACCCGCGTCGTTCTCGCTACACTAGTGCTCGATATGATCAAAATTCACTTCAATGGGAATCGCGGTCCACATTGAGATTGCGCGTCGCAATCCATTCAAAAAGGCCCTCTAATTAATAAATTATATCGAGAACTGCAAGCATTGAAGAAAAATCACTTCCATCTAGTGCCTTTACGTGGTAGGGCGCTTGCAAACGACTTTTTATGCGAATAAACATTTGCATTACCTCTATAACATACGCCGCACTGCAGTATACCATACATTTGACCGCCTTCCGAATAGACAGCGTTGCTGAGTATATCACAGCTATTTACAATCGGATAAGATTCATTAACTCTATAGGTCTCCCATTAGATCGTGTGGCCAGTTGAAGAGGAATTTCTGATTTTACAATTCCACCTTCACCTAGAAGTGGCGAATTTCCGATTGGATGGCTATTTTGTAGCTCTCAATGAATTGCAACGTACAATCTCAGTGTGGACAGCGATTAATGCCGATGGCATATTGGGTGTTGCCCGTCCAAAAACATTGCACGCAATGAGTACTTTGAAATTGGCTTCCAATCAGTCGCTAACCATTAGCTAAGCGTTGCCGTTGTGACCCAGTGGCTAAAAAGGCAGGGGTCCCAACTAACTTCACAATGGTCACGGGTTTGATGCGCTCTGTTCATACCTGATAACCATAAATATGTTCGAAACCATCCGTAGAAGGTGGCGTTTTCAGACGAGCAACACAGCATTTGCTGATATTATCTTCGCATTAACTCCCATCAGCTTCTGCATGGAATTCCCCAAGCGCATAATTACCATAGCTTCTCAAATCGGTGCACAAAATGTACCACAGGCTTAGGACAGGCAACTTTCCACCAGTATGCCACGTGAAGTTTCAAACTAAAAATTTGACCGAAAATATAATGGACCACTTTATATAAGTACATCCAAATGGGAGTGCCCTATTGGAGTGAACTGATGAATCAAACGAGCGAGCTATACCACCAATAGGAGAAGCAGATAATGGATTCGATCACTGATGGCAGATTGGTGGACGTTCATGTGAATTACACTGTTAGCTGAATCAAAAAAGAATCCTCATCAACTAATGACGGTGGTTAGTTATGAAAGTGAACTAGCAATCTAAATCGAGGAGCTTGGCTTGCCGCACATGCTGTAATCTTCGCTTATTTATCTTTGCCGAATAAACGCTAATCCCTGAAGGAATGAGTTCTACAACACGGTGTCAGAGAAGACCAAGACTAACACAGCCAGCGGGGCCCAGATGCTGATTGGATCACCAGCGGCTATTCAGATGCCAAAGCTAAGTAAGTCACCAAGGTAGACCGATCGTCCTCGTTCTGACACGTGGTTCCAGATGAAGAACCCAGCTTATTTACAACCTTTTCCGCACCGTTCGGGCGTTTCCATTTGGCTTGAAGGTTTTCAGCGCAATTTTTCATAAACGGTTGAAGGAGATGCTCGCAGTAGTCTATGCCATGGAGCGTTTCAGCTTTTATACTTTCGGAAGAGTATCAACCGTGTGTAACGACCATAAACCGCTTCTATCAATAGCCAGTAAACCACTGCGCAACGTCCTTTATTGTCTTGGGGTCTGCTTATGCGAATTCAGAAGCACGACATGAATATCTTGTACACGCCAGGTGCACAGATGTTAGTCGCAGACACGGTATCAAGTGCTCATCTGCCGGTAACCGTGTATCATCCGGAAGAGGTCGAAGCAGGAAACCTAGTACGGCATCTGGCAGTGACGGAAGCTTATTTAAAAGAAATAAGGTGTCACACAGAGGAAGATGCAATGTTTTCAGCTTTGCAAGACGTTCTTCTTAATTTGTAGCCACCGACAAAGAAGAAGCTATCAAAGGAGCTAACACCCTACTTTCATTTTCGTGATTAACTCTGTCTACGATGTTTTACTGTTCAAGAGTATACGTATTCTGATCCCGTCATCGTTCCGAGAAGAGATGTGGGAAGCACGTTCACCGCGCTCACCTAAATGCCAACTATACCAGGAATGGCGGGTCAAATCAGGAATCATGTATCAAATTGTGAGGCGTGCCGTTCACACGAAATCCGGCCGACGAGGGAACCAGTGATGCTGCATGATGTCCCTGACCGACCGTGCAAAAGGTGGTGGTGCATTTATTCAATGATAACGGTAAACATGCCTTACTCACAGTGGATTATTATAGTGATTATTTTGAAATATATCTACTCACCACTAAGACCACAGAGGCAGTAATCAACAAGTTCAGATGTCAGTTCGCGCGGTACGGTATACCGGAGGAGATGGTCTTGGACAATGATCCCCAGTTTATTAGCGGCGCCTTCCAGGCATTCCCAACCAAGTGGGAATTCGTGCACCGGCAAATCAGCCTACATCACGGTCAATCGGATGGAATGACGGAATCGGCAGCGAAGCAGGTCAGGCGACTGTTATCAAAGGCTAAGAGCAACTGGCGAGGACCCGTACCTCATGCTACTGGAGAATCGCAACACTCCTGCAACGAATATCGGTTTGAGTTCAGTGCAGCGCCTATAGAGCCGAAAGACTGGAACTCTGATACCTGCACTTGCCACGCTTTTGCGTCCAGTTTCGCTACAGCATGAACGATTACAGAACAGTCTGAGACGATGCATGACCACTCAGAAACGTTAGTATGACCGCGGTGCACGGGTACTACCTGAGCTAACAGTGGGGGAGGAAGTGTGGATTCAACCATTACCCGATAGTCAAGAGCGGTGTAAGAAAGGTGTGGTGACTGCGAGGGTCGGTGCCAGGTCACATAGGAAATAAACCTTGGAGAGAAAATGTTCAGAAAAATTGAGTGCATTTGAAACGGCACCGGAGACAACAACGTGCATTGGGTGTGGAGTGACAGATGGCGAGAGACAAGGAGACCACTGCCGCAGACACAGCGAGGACGACGCGGATTGGCAAGTTGTACGGGGTAGATAGCAATATGGAAGCGCAAGCAAACGAAAATTGGGAGGATGTGATGGTAGTATCAGAGCAGAGTGAGCAGATGGACCAACCGATTGAGCCAGACAGCCAATGGTAGGCGGACGTGACGGATTCGATTACTGGACTCGGATGGGCCGATATTCGTGTGAGTGAATCCCCGTTTGTTTAACTGAAGCAAAGGAGGAACCTCATCGACTCAGAAGGGTCGTTAGTTATGGATTTGAACCTGTAATTTATATCGAGGAGTTTGGCTTGCTATACATGCTGTAATTTTCGCTGATCTGTCTGCCGAATAAACGCTTATCCCTGAAGGACTGAGTTCTGCGACAACGGAAAGCATTCTGGAGGATCGATCCCTCCATCTTCCCCAAATGTTCAATGCCTATGCGATGCCCCAAGTGGAGCACATGGTCTAGGCTTGTCGATTTGACTACACTGGACATCGTCCAACGAAGGGCAATCAATAATGTAAAGGGAACGTTCCACTTGCCATACCATCTGTGGCTAAAAGCCCTGGGAGTGTACCGCGGAAGATATCTCCGTCTACCGGGTGACCTCATCCTGGCGTTCCATATCTTGAAA